ATGTGCTAAAGACTCACTTTGACTTTCCAACAGTACAATGCCTACGGAGTATCTGTGCTTTACACTCACAAATATTAAGGAAGGTACTTGAACAAAAGAGTAAAGTGTCTCCCAATAGTAAATAGATACTTAACCTAAACTATACATTCACGGGAATGCTGGTTATTTGTACACTACTAGAAAGACGGATATTTAAATATACTAAGCAGCAAAAGAAACGTCAGTTTGGAATTTGCCTTCGCAGAAACGGATAACTGTGAACTCATTAAATGTTTTGATGGTATATTTTTGACACTTTATCTGAACAAAGACATTCCTTCCCAAACTCAGAATGGAACCCAGGAAATGGTCTCAAAAACTCAACCTGATCTTGGAGATGGTACAGTGTTCTCCATGTTTTCATGCAACTCATGCTGCACGTGCTGTTCACAAGGACCAGCCCTATAAAATGCATCCCCAAACCTGGTTGAAACATTTACATTACAACGTCAGCAGGATGCCGTAGCTCACGACAGCTGAGAGGAACCAGGCGCTAGGAGTGAGTGAGTGAGTTTAGTTTTACGCCGCACTCAGCAATATTCCACCTTTATGGCGGCGGACTGTAAATAATCGAGTCTGGACCAGACAATCCAGTTGATCAACAGCATGAACATCGATCTGCGCAATTGGGAACCATGTGACATGTGTCAACCAAGTCAGCGAGTCTGACCACCCGATCCCGTTAGTCGCCTCTTACGACAAGCACAGTCGCCTTTTGTGGCAAGCATGGGTTGCTGAAGACCTATTCTACCCCGGATCTTCACGGGTCCCAGGCGCTAGGAAGACTTGAAGCTGGCCACACTGCACAAGCCGTTGCCAATCACTTCCAGGTCAACGTTCGGACCATTTACAGGCTGCAGCAACGTTTCCGGGCCACCAACACCACAAATGATCGCCCCGTACTGGCAGACCAAGGGTGACCACAAGACGAAAAGACCACCATGTTGTGCGACAGCATGTACAGAATCCCTTCATGCAGGCATCCGAAACAGCACGCCAGACAGTGGGAACACACGGAAGACCAATCAGTACTGATACAGTACGCCGACGTCTTAACATCGGGAAACACCATTGCCATTGACCTTACCGTGGACCTGTCCTCACCCCTCATCATCGGCGTGAACGTCTACAGTTTGCCCTACGACACCAAAAGTGGCGATACAGGCAATGGAGAACTGTTCTGTTCACAGATGAGAGTCGGAACTGCGTATCAACTGCAGATGGCAGAACAAGAATATGGCGACGATGTTGCCAGCGTTACTCAGACCAATGTGTTATGGAAAGAGACTCATGAGGAGGTGCAAGCATCATTGTATGGGGTGGAACAGGCCTGGGCCCCGTTCCCCAAAGCGATCGTAGCGCTACAACAGTCGTAAGTCTATGTTAAAGTATGGGAGTTACGATCAACTTTGCACTACGATCGCTTTGAGGAACGGGGCCCTGAACCAGAGAGTGGGTCCTGTGGTGTTCCAGAACCTTGGTCCAGGGAGAGGAGGCGGCAACCCAAAAGAGCAATATACTTCTACTAAACCATTACCGAAGCTATTCCAACGGCACCACTAAAGATTTACATGAGACATGTACAATGCGGACATGTACAATTAATAGACTATATACATGACTATATATACAAGGGAAATATCTTTATCTACTTGTACTGACACCAACCCACCCAACACTCCACCCCACACACCCTCCGTTGCATACAAATCAAAGGGCGACGTTAGACGAACGTGAGAAGACTGGAGTTTTGACCCCGTGACACAGGGTCATTGTGGTACAATGCCACTCTGTGAGCCATGTTGCCATATATTCATAATTTCTATGCACAGGACCATATAAGACTCTGTAAGCAAGGCTTGTTGACGCAAATCATTATGCCTTCAAAGTGAGGGGTTTGTTTTGTACCTTCAAAGTAAGGGGTTTGATTTCTAATCCGACTTTTTCAACCTAAAAAAGCTGGGGCGTGAATCAAGTGTTAAGACATAAGTGTAATTTAACAGATTCTTGAACTATGAAATGAAAGATTACCATCCCTCTTCTTACATTGTTTTGAAACCAAATTTAAGTGCCTGTTTTGTAACTGGTGAAAACTGCAATGATCCACCTCCCCGTTGTTGTATGACACGCAGTTAACCTGTGTACCTTACACAATCACTCGCTTTGATAGTCTAACTGGGTCATGTTGAAACAGCACGACTCATTGCAGCGGTGAAAACCCAACCCTAGGACGAGGATTTGTGGTAGATTGACCATCACCGTGAGGTGCAACTCGCATAACAGAGATAGAATACAGTCTGTGCATAATTTCGCCCTTCAGGCGTGTTTTGTTCAGAAAAGGTAGTTATCATTTGTTTTAAGCACAGTGAACTTCTTGCATGACAGGTCAACACAAGTTGGGTCCTAACCCTTGTGGACAATATATACCCGACATAAAGTCTTGGAGGTAAACCTAGTAAATAGGTGCAGTCACTCAATGATATATGTATGTAGATATAACCATGTGCCTGCAAGGTTTGTTATAGGCAAATGTGACAGTATATGTCCATCATTTCTGTCAGTTTTATGTAACTGTGCATATCCAACGTTCATGTAAGGCATATGTGACAGTATATGTCCATCATTTCTGTCAGTTTCATGTAACTGTATATGTCCATCATTTCTGTCAGTTTCATGTAACTGTATATGTCCATGATTTCTGTCAGTTTATGTAACTCTGTATGTCCAACGTTCCTGTAAGGCACTTGGAAGTGCATATATCTACAGTATGTGTATGCGTACAAGATTGTTCGTGTACGGGATATGTAACTCTTTTTATCATACAATGGTTAGCGTTCTCGGCGGGATAAGGCGGGTATTTTAGAGACACAGGGGCTTGTATTGCTGAAAATAACACGTCCTACGTCCAACACTTGTTCACTGATAGGCATCTACATAAAGATAAGTAAAGTAAACACACCCGCTCGTTTCTCGTTTCTGGGCGAATTCTGAGTGGGTCTAAGCTCTAAAGGCGATCGTGTCCGTATTGATGGCCTTGGTTACGGTACTGCTAGTGCTTTGATCTAAGAAAACTCATATCTGGTAATGTTAGGTGGAGTGGAATACGAAGCGAAGATAGAAGTTCATAGACTTACGAAGATGCCAACTTCAGTTCCCCGACCGAACGTCAGTGTAAGCGAGCAGACGGCACAGTCAAATTGAATGATCAGCAGAAAATTGTGTCACCGAGCTTGTGACGTGACGTATTAACCAACCGTATATTAACCAACATATAATATATACATACATACATACATACATACATACATACATACATACATACATACATACATACATACATACATACATACATACATACATACATACATACATACATACATACATACATACATACATACATACATACATACATACATACATACATAACGCTTGTTAGGCGCAATGTACTAATCACTCACATTGCCAGCACATCCTCACGGGTACCCATTTTACAGATGGGTGAACTGAGATAGTGTGGATTTAAGCACCTTGTCCAAGGATGTTAAGCAAATGTGCAAACCTTGGGACCCGAACCTTGGTGCCTCCACCGGGGATCGAACCCGGACCTTCAGCGTGATAGGCAGACGCCTAACCACTGCACTATTGCGCTCATCTGTATGTAACTGTATGTGTCCAACATATTTTGTCAAGCATGTGTAACTGTATATGTCCAACGTTTGTTGTCAAGTATATGTCCAACCTTCATTTTAGGCATATGTTTACAGTCTGGTCAAATGTGGGTGTATTGAGTGTGTGCTAGTAAATCTACGTGCATAAAGACTACCTTTTGACAAATAATTAATCAATCAGCGTGTTATCGGATAATAATTTGATGGATATTTTTTAACTCAGTAGATAATTCCTCTTGCTGCACTTCCAAGCGCATATTTCATAACAAGTAATACATTTACCATATCAGACCTTCATCCATGATGTTGAGTATTTACTCCAGACACGAGAAATGCTAAATGTCATTGTCAACCTCTGTAGGGTAATCTGAATGGTGTTACCACTAGCTGTACCTGATATAAATTCTTTATCTGACCATCAAGTGAATGATGTCAAATCAGCAGGTGTAAGTTTATATCACCAAATACGGGTTACAGCCAGGGAGTAGTAATCGCTGTATCGCATGCAAAACTTACGGGTCGACGCTGTTGTGAGGATATGAAAGAAACTTCAATGTTTGCATAAGAAATACAACATTTGCTTTGTACTAAGTTAAAAAGTGTATATACCTACTTACCTAAGTAACGTTTTAGATTTTTCGAGCAATGACAAAGTGGGGTTGATTGAGATTTTTCGGATTCAAATAAATCAAATGTGTTTATATCATACGTCATATTTTCAAATAACGGTATCTGATTGGCATCCACCGTTCTGATTGTCTTATTGTTTAGATTGAAGAAATTCTCTCTTGGTAGACAGCTGCCCAGTCCCTGTGTCTGTCGCGGTCGAGGGAACATGTGCTCCCCACCTGGCAGCTAGACGACGTAATAAAAACATTGTTGGCGCGAAATATGGGTCGCTCTTGAAGAGTGTCCCTTAAGTAATTACTTATTTAATTAGTTATTGTAAATATCTTCGGAGAGGGGTTTAATAAGTTGAAAGAACTTGTCCCCGATCCTTTTCACATTGTGAATAAAATATGTTTAAACTAAGTAACTACTAAATACTCAATTAGACATCAACACTGAAATAATGTGGTATTAGTTCACCGCGTGTATGTTACGAACTGTCAATTAGTCATTTGCTTCTGTGAAGACTTTATGCAACAACAGTCTAAAAATGGCAAACTCCTAAACACACTCTCAGAAGTCCTATATACATCCTCTGCAATATTTACATACAGCTGAAAGGCGCCTCGATCCTCCTCCGGCTCAAGTGGTAACTGTCAGCGGTGAATTGGTGAGTCGACATTAGTCGATTCCGGTGTGAAGTTATGCACAAACAAGTTTCAGGATGAACACTGAAATGCAGTTAGCAGTTGTGCTGGTTTTGGAAATTGTTGGTGAGTCATATTTTGCGCATAGTTGTTGACATCCCAGTAGTGGAAGTTGTCTAGCAATAATGTATCATTATCGCAATGCTTACTATAGTCTAGTGCATGACTTTTTTCAAAGTATTCTGTATTTTGACATTGATTTAACGTTCTGTTCATAATGATTATTGGTATTTGTATAGTCAGTAGTGGCACTGAGCACATAGTGTTCCCTCTTTATGATTTCACCCTTTAGGTATTGACAGTTTTCTCACATTCTCGTCAACTACCTGACTGAGAATCCCGAACGTAATTCTTATAATAAAATCAGAAGTTATTAGAAAATTTATGGATTTTTTGCATTTTGTCAAAGGACTTTTTATTCCGAAATTGAAGACCTATGTTCGATAACTTCTGTGAGACGATTTTAGGCATCTAGAGACACATTTATTTTGCAAAAACACGTTTTTCGCTTTATCCTCTCGAATATTTTGAACCTAATGTGCAGAAACTGAGCATAACATTTCAGTTCCATGGTGATGTTGATCTGTATGTAATCCACAAAGTGATTAATGCAAAGCAGCTTACTTTTTGGAAAAGAAAATTGATAAATGTCTTGTTTGAAATGAAAGAGCATTCATTGGTGAAATGTGATTGAAATGTAAGATGATTTAAGGCATCTAGTGAGTTTGATACATTTTTTGCGAAAACACGTTTTTCTCTTTATCCTCTCGAATATTTTGAACCTAATGTATGGAAACTGAGCATAACTTTTCAATTCCATGTTAATGTTGAACTATATCTAATCCACAAAGTGATTAATGCAAAGTAGCTTGATTTTTGAAAAAGAAAATTGATAAATATCTTGGTTGAAATGAAAGAGCATTCATTTGGTGAAATGTGATTGAAATGTTTAATAGTTTTAAGTGTGTCTACAGAAAATATTCGAACTTTTGAAGATGATTGAACAGTGTCCGCCGCCAAAATAACCCCCGAGAAGGCAAAACTGAACGCCAAATGTTCCAGATAAAGCCACCAAGTCACGAACATATCAAACAATTTGGGGTTTCATGTTTGGGGTGCGGTACGCGGTCAAATGAAGACGAATGTTGTTGTGTTCGACACCAATCTCAATGCACATCATGACATCATTCTGTTAAAGCAACGTCTTAGTTAGGCAATTAGTATCCCTTATTTAATTTTCACTGACTCTTGTTGTGACAGGCTGGACTGTATCCGTGATGGCCATGGGGGCATGCTCGGTGACTTGACCGCTTGTATGATTCTCAACCACTAGGTCATGACTTGTTACTGTCTGCCCCAGAATATCTCGAATGTTAGTGAATGGTGTTAAACAAACAGCTACCAAACTAAACAGTTTCTTTACTTACTCTCTTTATTCACAACATGAAACCCCCTTCGGTTAGACTTAGACGATGGTTCATTATATTATCCTTATTCTCAACTGGTTCTTGTTCTCTTAGAGTGGCAATCCATGTTCCTGGGATATTCTTGATTTGTCTGAAGGCTAACAGAAAGGTACCCTTTAAACAAAATTCAGTTTTCACCTCAGCGAAAGCGTTACGACTGCCATTTACATGTGGTATATATTTATACATATTACATTCCTTTGTTGTACCAGCTTAGGAAATTATATATATTGTTAAGTGATACGTAGTACAAAGAAGAAAGTGATAAGAAATGATCATGAAATGTAGGAGAACGTCACTTCAAAAATATTTTTAGGCCAGTTTAGGCCAGCAGATTCTTAATCCATTAATCTTTATGTATTTGCATAAAACAGCAGTATCAACATGTGTCATTATTTTATCAGCCCAGATCAAGTGGAATGTAAATGAATTTAGTCATTTGAAGAAATAATTTTCTGGGTTTTTCTTTTCCATGAAAAGCAACTTTGCAAGGATTTGATAACATTTATGCGATATCTGTGGAAATTAACATGCCTAAAATGTGATAGTGTTCCTTTCACCAGCACAGTAGTTGTTCATTTGATCCTTGTCATATAAATTTAGGTTTGTCACAGCAAATTGTTTCAATATCTCAACTAATTCAGATAAGCTTTCCTATGAACCATCTAACGTAAAAGTTGAGTCATCCACATATTGAAAGATACAATACTGTTGATCTTTGACGTTTTTTACTTTGATATTTTGGCTACGTTTGATTGCAATGAAGAGCAGATCAACGCATGGAATAAATGGATATGAGGATGGGAGGTCTGCTGGTCCACATCCACTATCAATCAGGAAGAAGCTTACGTCTGCTATTTAACCTGAATAGACCGATCCCGCCTGTCAATCAAAACTGGAGCATGCGTCAATTTTGCCCAATCAGCAGGCCGGGCCCGCTGTGTGGATTTGTCAGACTTATTTCCGGGGTCAAACGATGCCTCCGAAGCGATGTGCTTCGAACTATGCCATTTACACTCTATATGTATATATTACATATTGTTGCGATTTGATGTGTACCTTTTACAAAACCATTACGGTCAAGACAAAAAACTTGAGGTCGATCAGGGAGCGCGATAGGCCAAACGATCAGTTAAATGTCTGCACCATCGTTCACGAAACCTACGTTTGCCTGTAGATGAGAATTTGCACGAATTTCCGCACTTTTGCACATGTGCAAAATCATTACCAATTGATGACAACAAAAAGTAGTTTAAGACTCCGCAAGTGTTATAAACACGGACAATTCTTGTAACTACAAAAGTTGTTTAGCTTAACGTTTTCAGTCACTACTGGACTTTGAGTTGGTAGGCCATAAATCTCAAATGAGACAGGCGAGAAAGCCGTGACACAATGTAAACAAATCTGACAACGATCTGATTTCGGTTAGGGTCGACCGAAATAGCAAAACTTGTTACATGAAAGAACAATGTGGCGGATAGTGTACCCTTCGCTCTTAGATATTCTTAAATTTGTCACACGTTTTATCTAATCAATTCTAAATAATTATTTAACTGATTGACACATCAGATCCATATTATTTTAAGGCAGAACTAGGCAGACAAACACAATACATATCATAGCAGGACAATCACTTGGTATTAACTTAATTAGTTTCTTGGCTTCTGCTTTTAAATAGTTTTCAAATAATATATTTACTAATCAGATAACTCTGAAAGTGGTTGCTAGTATCATAACCCATCAAGAGAATTTAAAAAGCAAAGGCTACGTTCTGGTCACACACTGGTCAGGCATTATCCAGTCCTTGAACAGAATAACTTACAAAAATCCCAGATTTGATGTAATTCTTCTTATAAATCATCAGTTTTTCAGGAGGTTACCTATATTTGAAGACTGAGCCAAAGGTAGTGTTTATTAAGATGTTGATTTTGGCCAAATTGTTTAAGCTTTTCTGACGGTTATTTGGAAAATGAGCTCCATATTAAATTGCACACTGGCCCATTGTTTGTAGGAGGTGAACGCTTCAGGAGATTTTTTCCTAAACCTTTGTTATGACTTTTACCAAAGTTTTAATCAACTTTACTATAATTTTTATGACACTAGTAAGTATCTCAGTAAAGGAAATAGATCGAAATCAGAGTTATGTCCTCTAGGGATATGGTCTCAGATCTAATAAAACAAAGATTATCATTGTTTAAGAAGCAATAATGTCAATATGTAATTGTATTGACAAAAAGCTTTGAACATAGGATATATTCTTTGCACCTTATTTTCACTAGTAGTTAGCAGTTAAATATCTCTTAAGAAAAAAACAATACATTTGTATTTTGTGTAACATTCTGTGTCAATGCTAGGTAATTGTTCGGATAACTGTGGATGCTCTGTTCAAAGAGTTTGTATCATAGGTTTACTATTTCTGAAAAGATGGGTCAGTGTATCTTGGGTCTTCTTTGTGTTCTGGTGCTGTGACATACCTGTACATACATGCTGGCAGTTCATGAAATCCAGTATTGTGGAAGTTTGTATGTAAATTAGGATTCCACAACAAAGCACATATAGAAAAATAAAATGGAAAGGATGATTTTAAAAAATGGATTTCCTTATATTCAGGGTCATTTTAGGATGACGTACAGATTTTGAAGTGGGAAACTTTACTGAGAATTGCTGCAGATCAGCTGTTGAATATTTACTTCTGGGTTTGTCCAGATACGTCCATGGAAACATACAAGCCCAATTACCTTTTCCAGATTTCCAAATAGGATTAAATACGTTATGCTGTGATTGATTTGTTTACATTAATTATATACAGACAAATAAGGTGCACGAAGTAGTAGATGGGAAATATTTTCTGATTTATTTACCATTCTTTTTATTCATTAAAAGATAGAAACCCATCTTTTCAGATTATTGATTTAACTAAATTTGAAAAACTCCAACGGATAACCATAAATAAAGGCGCCACGCGCAGTGTTGACAATCTATTTACAGATACCGAAACGATCTGCAACATGAACATGTGGTTGTATTCACGGTTTTTATAAAATTATGATGGGAATTTTTAAAAATAACACACCCACAAACAACAAAATTCAGTTACCCTTATCCTGCTAAAATCTTTGACGGAGGTGAACTGCCGGATAGATTAAATGATTCGAAAGAAAATACGCTTCCCACTCTCAGCAGCTGGTCGAGACGATTTTTCATCGGGCATGTAATTCATTTTCACTCGCCAATTGCAATATGCCAGCTAAAATATATTTAAAATCAAATACGTATAACTTGCCTCTTTAAATATCATTCACAAACGACGGATGCCAAAGTACCACAAGGAGAATTCATCAACAACGTTCGCAATCATGTACGTTTCGCCGGCGATGACGCCATTGTGAATAGTCAGTGGTTGTCCCCCACTAACGTCAAAAACGAAGTGGGCGGGGCTTGTCGGCGGGGACTGGATCGGTCTATTGATAGTAGTACTCCAAGTTTTCAATGTGAAGAGATTTACCCAGTTTCTGAAAGAGGGACCAGAATTTAGGTCTGTAAGCCACGATCAATATATACACTGTTGGATTGTTGTGCGACATTATGCGAAAATAGACCATTGGACAGTTGCAATCATCTCTCTTGTCATACAGCCTTGTGGGGAATCTTTTGTCACTGTGAATCTTTATGCATGAATCTAATATGAAACATAAAGCCGTTTTATTGGATTCATTTGGATTTATTTTGCGTTCAGTTGGTAATTCATTGGAAGGGAACTGGCTCTTTGATTGGTATTGAACGTGAACAAATTACCGATTCTGACTCATGTTTTCAGCACATGTATACTGTGGCCAGAACCTTGCGCTGAATAAACCGACATGGATGAGTGCCGTGTATGCGGGGAGTTCAATCTCTTCCGCTGCTGAGAATTCAGTAGATGGCCATCTTGGAACAAACTGGCATCATGGAGTCTGCAGTTCCACAGCTGACAATGACAGATCACCTTGGATTGTCATAGATCTCCTGGGTCAGTACGAAGTCCACAATGTCACCATCTACAACAGAGGTGACCATGTCCGTAAGTTGAAATCCGCTTTCTGCATGGTAAGCTAGGTCGGTAATACCTATAATTATATGCTAGTATAAAACGAAGACGTGTATTGTGGCTTTTATCGTTAAGAGCAACACTACAATAACACGTAATTGGAAAACTTACAAATACGTTTGAGATGTAAACAGACAGGTATATATCACTCCCTCACCGCAATAACATAATTTCAGCTGAGCGCCTTCATGACTTTGTCATTGAAGTCTACAGGACAAACCCATCTCGATGTTCAACAGCTGCTGCAACCGTCTGTAAAGCCTATGTTGGTGTGTTTGGCCTTACTGGAAACGTCCAATGTGAGAGTTCAGTGTTGGGAAGGTTTGTTCGGATTTGGAAACCTGCGACTTCACAGTTTAACGATCTCCTGACAGTCTGTGAAGTAGAAGTATATGGAATACGCCCAGGTAAAGTTATAAAGCACATTGTCGAACTAAATAACAGCAGTTAAAATCAAACTTTGAGCACCTCACAAAGTGAATAATGGAGAAAAAGTTAAGTACCCCTACATATGTTGACCCCCTAAAAGAACTATGTTGTGTATGAAGATATGTAGGAGAATTTACTTTTCAGTATTGCAGAGAATTTTCATATTGCGATATATTGTGATGCGAAATCATATATTGCGATATGTATTGCAATAAATTGCAAGGAGTATTTTTTAACAAAAAATGACTCATAATCGAGTTAATGCTTTATTATAAAGCAAAAACACAACAAATTCACAATTGCAATGCATACATTCACCTTACGCTAAAAAGAATAACAAATGTAAATAGCAGACATGTTGAGTGAATGCTGACCTTATTAACAAAATAGATTAGACTATACAACGGAAATATTTTGGCGCCTAAACATAGTATGGAGGAGTGCGGCAAGGAGCCTAACGAACTGGTTATTTGTAAGGAAAAGTACCATCTTGTCTATTGCTGACATAGATTGGAATAAAGGATGGACACTGGTTATTTCTTTCCAAGGGTTAGATCTGAGATCTGTATAATAATCACAGTTGACCAGAAAATGTAATTCGTTTTCAACAGCTTTGCTACTACAGCGAGTACAAACTCTTTCATTAAGAGGAGTCTTCGGACGAGAATATCTACCCAGTTCTACCGCGAATGGCAAAGTGCCACAACGGAATTTACTCAAGATACTACGATGTGATCGAGGTAGAATTATTTCAACATAATGTTCAACCTGTAATAAATCTTTAAAAAGACGATAAGTACGTAATCCATTCTCCTGCCCTTTATCATTCCAAAGCCCGGAAACCAGTCACAACGGTCTAACGTCTTAAGGTGTTCTTTAGCAACAACAAACTCCTCATGTGAAATAATAAACAGGTCATATATAGGTCAATGAAAACTAACTAATACTTTATGAGTTCCAATATACCGAGATCTCCCCCAATTAAGTGACCATCTACTAATAATACTAGGTATTCTACTGAGTTCAAGTAAATGAAGTTTACGCCAAAAACGAAGAACCTCAATTTTTGTTTAGTATACTGGGAAACCCAGCCCATTTCGCCACGAACTGCTAATTTGGAGTTTTGCTAGCGACGGCTAAGAAGAATCTGGCTGCCCGATGTTGAACTGCATTAACACAACCATACTCCCGTGTTCTCCGGACAGCGGCTCTATATGAAAGAATGGGCAGAACAAGATTATCATATGATTTATTGTAAACTTTACAATCCATACCATTAACTGCCTTAACTTTACAGAAAATATCCGAAGATTTCCGAGTGTTACAAAGTTTTCCTAATGCATGTCAAATACCGGTTTTAAATCAGCGTATCGCAGTACGTATCGTTTTCATGTCTGAACCGGTAAATACCGCTTATATTACACAGCCTTAAATTTGACGTTCAGTATATCCATGAAGTGCTGGATCCAGTTGTCCTCCATTTTCATGATCCTCTTAACCTGAATTTATGGATGACAAAGCTCGGCAACATCGTTCTCATGCGGTGACAGCATTTATCCAGAATAATGCAGTAATTCACCTTACTGGCCCGGTTATCCAAGCACGTGGAGGGTGCACACGATATTGATTGTACAACATCCCCAGGCTACAAATAAACGTTTTTCTCTCATCACATACACGCCATATTGCCTGATCCTCTCTCTAGCTCCATACTTGTAAGTCCCAAACCCATCGAGGAAATTTAAACATACCAGATTTTTAAGCGTAGAATATTTGTTATTTTAAATTATGGTTAAATTGGTTAAACACCCAAATAGGTGTAACCAATATAGGGTTTTATTTCATGTACTAGTAATTTGTTAATAACCACTAGGGTGTCCCACTTCTTTTGCATCAGATCACGGATGTAGATTCTAATGCTAGCTTTGTAATCAGAGTATGGAATAAGAAGTGGTGTCAAAGATTTATTGAGTGCTGCCTTGTCAGCAAGATCAGCTATTGTATTCCCAGAAATGCCAACATGGCTGGGTAACCAACAAAAGACAATGTCGCATTGGCCAGTAGCAAGCTCATTATACATTTCAATAATTTCTATTATAAGTGGATGTTTACAAGAAAGATTTTTAATAGCCTGAAGACACGAAAGAGAATCGGAAAAGATTATGTATTGTTTATATTGACGGTGTTCATGAATATATTTAAGAGCTGTTAATATGGCGTTAGCTTCTGCTGTGAAAATAGAGCTGTTATTTGGTAGTCGAGAAGATATTGTTCTGGATCCAATAACAGTGGCACATGCCACCGCGCCACCATCCTTGGACCCATCTGTAAATAAGGATGTGTATGTATTATATAAAATCGCCAGGAGCGAAAGGATGGTGTAAATCCAGCTAGGGTCCATGCAGGCAGCAATGGTACTGTAAGTCCCCATGGTCCCTAGTTTGGTGATGTACCTTCAGTTCTTGGCGATCTATAGCCTGTTTTTATATTGTCTTGTCATGTATGGTTACAATATTTTAATATCAATTACTAGTTTTTAGAACTGATATCTGTGATAGCCTAGTTGTTTTACTGTCGTTTCTTGACAGGCTGAATTAAAAACTTACCTCACCCAATCACTCCATACACGTATCCTATTGAGCCTTTTGAGATTGTGTTTTCTACCATATCAATTATCAAAATATATATGACAACTATTACACTTCCTTGTTTACCATAATCATCACCATATAGAGGTAACATATTTATTCCATGGACATAGAGATATAACGCCGGATCGGGAAACATAGTTAACATACTAGTGTCAAGGAATACAGTGGCACAGACAGTTACAGTAGACCGACTTCATTTATTACCGAATCCATGAGAGTGTGTCATGAATCATTGTTTTGGAAAGTTAAACCTATAGGATTATGGAAGGAGTATTGTCAACAATGGTTTCGGACTAAGTTTGGACAAGTTTCACACTTTCGGGATAACCTGCCATGACACATACCAATTAGAAATTCCAATGAAGTCAGTGTTGAAATATCTGCAGCTTCTTTTTGGATTATCTATTATTACATAAGGAGATGCATTGTCTTCAAAGAGACGGATTTTACTTTGAATATTGTACAAGAACATGTTTCCTTATATTTAGAAGATACATGATTAATATCTTAAAAGTAATTGCATATTTATGCAGTGTACATAACAGACTGCCTTGCTAATGTCGCAGAATAGAGACCTAACCATGGACATGTTTTTTTGTAACAGGTGCATGTATTCCGACTTGGCATCAAGGAGTACGTGGAAAGCACCTGCTCTCCCCTGGTGCTGCGTCCTTTCCCCAGCAGTCAAGGATGACGTGTTTCCTTCTTTGTGTGATGTCCGAGACCTGTGTTGGTGTCAACTACAACGGTGGATCAAAGGAGTGTCAACTCATCTCCAAACCGATGCCAACTGACCCGGTTTCCTTAAACCAAGACTGGGTCTTCTTCGGTGATGATTTGTGTTAAGTCAAACCTTTACTTCAGTTTTATAAACAAAATTTGCAAATTACAAATCACGACATTTGGTTCAACAGTTTAACTGAAGCTCAAATATTCCCATTTCTGTTACATTGATAGATAACCATGACGGTCTTGTGGTGTGTGCTCCTGTGCATAGAGCCCAGGTGACAATTCAGTTAAAGTATAGCAACACTGGTCATGTGAAGTACTAAGATAGATGACCGTGTTAGGCATATTAACTCCGGCGATTTTTTGGAACTTCAGTCCTGCCCTGTGGTACATGTGGGTTTGTTCAAAATTGCAACTGTTCAGCCAGCAGTGAATGGGTACCCGGTTGGATACGTTCTATGACTGTTGGCCTTCTGGTGATGACAGGCAACACTACCTGGCTGTTGGTAGAGTGAGACAAAACACGAAGAAGTGATCTCTGGCTCTGATCAAAGACAGTTTATTCGTCTATGTCTGTTTCTGCGGCAATGGTTCTACTTGGTATAACAACAAGCCTATGGAGAATACACAAGCTACATTCGTGCCTGCTCTCTGCTGTCGAAACAGGGAGGCAACGAGCTTGCAGAACAGCGCAAACCTTTCAACATACGGGATGTAATGTTGCTATCAGAAAATAACTTCTCCATGTAGAATGAGTCAAGCACATTGATTCCTTTGCTTCAGCTGTTTCAGAAGCTGTTTCAGACCTTTTTTCAGTGAATTTTGTTTAGGTTAATGATGGGAAGGATTTATTGTCATCTTTGTGTACATGCAGCCGTTTCACCCGGAACCAATATACGATTCGAAAATGCATAGAAAATAAAGAAGGAAACTTTGGAAACCATCGAAATTCGCTGCTGTCGTTAATGTTAATCTGCATTTTGTCATAACATACCATGTATATATACTTGTCACCGTTTGGTTTTAGGCACTTTTAGCTTGATAATGGTGTAAGAACCGTACATGAGGAGATCAAAGGGCTTCACAGGTTAATCAGCCGAAACACCTTACTTATGTTGTCACGATATGCATAAGACAATCTGATCAGCGACTTCATAGTCATTGCTGAACCATTTGTACCCAATAAATGATATACTGTCAACAATATACAGAGTAATGTTGCACAAATGGAGACAGTCGAATATATGGAAGATGTCGTGATGCTAGCTGTGTCGAAAAACAACTTCAGCTCAGTCGCTTAACAACTAGTCTAGTTACTAGCGAAGGCTACATATGTATGGATTCCATTCAAAGTCCTCTCTTTATGTCTGACTGTTGACACACAATCTAATTGATTTACTTTTGTAGACATTTGTTCAAACTCTGTAGAAAATTCGGTTTCTTGCAAATAAACATTAGACATCGTGCTGCTACATGAATGATGTTCACGTTCACTTGAAATGGAAACTGTATGTCACTGAATACTCTGTTTAAAGCCAAGCAGCGTGAGGCTTTTTGGTTAATTCACTGCGACCGACCAACTAATGGAACCTTATAACGGTAATGGTAAAATCAGTCGAGTGTTGCCTCGAGTACTTTGTATCATGGTTTATCGTTGACGATGACTGGTCTTTCATGGAACACTGGAGAATCCTGGAGCCGAATGATCCAATGTGAATTCTGTGCTGATAAATGTGTTATTGTAGTGGTCTTTTAGTTTTGTGTGGTGATTTCCCACAAGACGCAACGATGACAGTTTTATTCTTGGGATACGTTATATATTATGAATGTTGTCTGTAAGAGCATATGCAATTGCTGCCATCACTCTCGCATGTTCAGCGTCATCAGCATTCAGTTCATCCTGTAAGTGTGAAGCCCATTTCTTGTGTCCCCGCCGTGATGTTGCTGGAATATTGCTAAAAGTGGCGTAAAACAAAACTCAGTCAGTCATCCTGTAAGATGCCATGGATTAGTTCATGTATATCTATGGCCCTTTGGTTGTTCTCATTAAAATGGACCCGCCTTTGCATTACTGAAACCTGTCTGGATATCACAGTGATGCATTGAATTATCTTTGCCATTTGTCATTGCTTCAAACTTGATTTGATATACATGTACATTGATAGTTTCAGTAATGTGTTCTATCAGGAACAATCCTCTTACACTCATTGTTCTGTAGAGTAAACAAGATTACACAGACATGTTTTATACAATATGCATCACAAAGTGGTACGAAAGTATCGTGCATATAAACCATTTCTTTCTCAAACATGTGTCATTAAGGTCATGTCATAGTATAAAAAGTGTATGGACGTTCATGTAGAATGTCGGTATGTACTCAGAAATTTATTTACATCTAGTCATGTAGTGAGGTCAAATATCAGTTATTTAATTTGGTTCAAATCAGCAACATTACAGCTTAATCGGTCATCAGCAGTTGGTCAATGCATATTCTATAAACTTAAACATCACCGCCACACGCATATTCCTCCTTTTTGGCTTAAATGGCAGAGGAGAGACAACAGTTATACTAATGTATCACCGAAAATAAATGACACACACACATACACCACATGTTTGGAGGAAGTGTAAGCGGGTTCTGGTCCTGTAAAATGCAGAAGGGGATAAAAATTATACAGAAGTATCACTGAAAAAATCATTGACACCAGGTGTTTAGGGGAAATGTAAGCTGGTTCTGCTCCTGTAAAAAGCAGAAGGGAGATAAACATTTTATGGATGTTTGAAGGAATGGTAACTGTGTCTGGCTCTATCGGTTGCCACTGACATTCACAGACAGTTTACACAATGAAGTAAACATGTTTCTGTTGCATAACGACGTCATCCTTCTCGGCCTGCTATACCACGGCGTCATGTCGGTGATCAGCATCATGAGCAGCATCACGTCGTCGTGGTGCAACGCCACGCTGTCAGTCAGTTTAAGGGCCTTAAAGGTTCATCTTGTCATACAGTTTAGTACAGGGGTTATCTTCATGTTGAACTCACATTTATAGGTCCAGATTGGGATATGGTCTCTCTTTTTACCGATTAAGGTGTAGTTAAGGCAAATCATTCTCCCCTATGAAACATCAACAGAAAGTGATCATTGTGTAAGAAGATAATTCACTCAAAGTAAGTTATCTGTTGTCTTCCTGCTATTTCCACCAAAAGTCGCTGGGGTGCGGCTGCTCTGTTAGTATCGAGTTTACTTTCATATATTTGTAAGTTTCCGAAGTATTGAAATGAAAAACTACCCATCACTTCAACACCCTCTTTCCATCTACTATTTTGGAAGCAAAGCAATATGACTATCCTTTAACTTAAAGATTGCAACAATCCACGGTGCCATGACTGCATGTAGCATTCTTCTTCATTATGACGACCTTCCTCTTTTCGCCTTCCAGATGCCTTCTGGCATGTTTTGCCTTGAAGTTATTCTTTGCTTTACGCACAACAAAGTTTGCGTGAGAGGTAAACACAATTCCAGACAATATCTACTCGTCATAAAGTCCTAAACCTAGTAGATGGGAGCAATCACTCAGTGATATGTGCACCTGGCCAAAGATTTCGCACCACCCACTATTTTTCACTAAGTAAAACTGGATCTACAACCTCAGAAAAATGGTGTTTAGAAAAGCACATTAAACTGTTTAGATGGCCTCATGTGAGCGTTCAGTTAGAAAGTGGACAACACAAGGCCGAATTTGAGCACTAATTGAAGGTTTAATTGAGACATGGCCACACGCTCTTTGATTCTGTAATGACACAAGATGTGAATTCAATGCCATTATCCGACTGCAATATGACAGGTGTTCCTAACATCACCCCAAAATGGGACTTCAGCTTAGATGTTTCTCTGATCATGTGCTGTGCCTCTCTGCCTCCAAACACGTGCCCTCCCGTCTGTATGATGCAGCAAGAATCGGCTTTCATCGTATCAGTGGATCCTTCTCAATGTCCTCAGGTTCCAGCGAGCATGTGATTGGTACCTGGCTAAACGGGCATGGCGGTGCTGATTTGTGAGGACTGGACGTCTGATTGGTTGTCTTCCTCTCAATCATGCAGAATTTAGGCGTCGTCTGATGGTGCTGATGCACACTCTGGTGTATGGATGCCATCCATGTCGCAGCTGTGTATAAGTAGACATTAGGCTTCGTCTGGCATGGCGTACGAGAGCACGATCTTCCCTGTCGTTGTTCTCTCTGGGACGTCCAGACCTGGTGCATCCTTCACTTCAGCCGGTAGCAGTACGAAGTACGAGGTTCTTCAGTGTGGTGATGTTGAGAAGCTGATAAAAAGAGGGAAAATTCTGAAGAGCCACCTATCTACTTTGCCACATTGGAGGAGACTTTAGACATCATCATATTTCCACTGTTCATGGAGGCAGAGATCGTATGCTGAAGCAACTGTCTACAAGGTACGCTAAAACCTACGCTGTGGAGACATACAGGTCATTTTGGGTTGAGTGCCAGTCCAAATCCAAGTGGTCAGTCACGACAGGTAATTTTAATGTAACAAAAACATTTAAAGCAGTGTATTTAATCAATATTTTTAATTGCTATTGAAAAGTATCGCCAATGTGTTGCCAGCCTTACTGGTAACATGTAGTTTGTGATTGAAATTCTGTTACATTCAAATTCACTCAAATGCATACACATTCCTCAAGTGAAGTTCTAAAGGGTGGAAATGTTTGCAACATGTATTACTAGAGGGAAATTGTAAACGTATAAGTTACAACACAGTAAGGTTGGCATTCATCAGAATAATAAGAAAAGCTAAATTTAAACACCTTTTATCAAGGTCCATAGCAATAAGAGTGAAAAGGAGACATTATCCATTTTCTGAATTCCAAATGTGAGTTGTAGAATTTTTAAGACAAACTTTATAAACCAATGGCAACCATTGTCTACCAAAACACTTTCACAAATACACTCAAACATTTAGATAGTGAAATTTTTTTGAATAGATAAGGCCACTTGAACACATTTCTTTTGTCAAAATTAAATTGACCAATTACAGTATAAATATAGACATGATTACATTACATCTGGATTACATGAGAACATCAGTTTATGTCCTTATAAAGCAGCTCTAATTTTACGTAATATATAGTCACCAAAAAATACATTGTGAGCTAATTACAGATGCCACATAAACCATTCACTGATCATAATTGCCACATAACATTGCCTATATACATGCAAAGTTAATAAACTTTGAATAAATAACAAACTTCACTATCATCAGAGAGAAATTAAGGGAAGTTCAAAATTCTCTAAAACATACAAAAATTATAAAATACGAAAACAAATTATGAGATGCACACCTTTAGAGTCTCTATAAAAGACATATGTGAGCTAAATGAGTTTTGTGCAGTAGTTTTGAGGTTAAGTGGATAAAGTACACACCCTGTTGTATGGGACGAACTGGATGAAATAGAGGCAATTCAAGTTCAAAAATCTGTAGAAGTGACAAAATTAAGAAATTAGATGAACAAGGTATGAGACGCACACCTTTAGAGTCCCAATGAAACACACATAGAAGGCCAATTCTGTTGAGCAGCTTTTGTGGAAAAGTTGATAGACTTCACCCCCTATAACACTATATTCAGAGAGAAATTCAACAAAATTTATTTAAGTTCAAACGGCATTAAAATTGGAAAAATCAAAATCAAAATATGAGATGCACGCCTTTAGAGTCCCAAGAAAGCCCATGTATAAGTTCATTGAATTCCACAGAGCGGTTGTGTTGGAGAAGTGGATAGAATACATTCCCTGTTCTTCGTACAGACACCGAGGGCAACCCTATATGCCCCTGCCATATATGGCGGGGCATAAAAGCAGTGTAATAAATCATGAGGAAATATACTTTCTTTCAAAAGTTTAGACTCACTATATGTTATGTACATGTGGATATATATATGGTTACATCTAAGATTGATTTCTCCACTAACTTGGGGAACCAACTGCAAACCTTATGCAGATGAATATCACGAGGATCATGCATCAAATTGCTGAAAAAGCATGTGCAAATATCGTGCATATGAACAGGTGCACTTGGGTGTAAAGTTTTGTTAAGAATTAGCTAATTTTGACTGATTTTATCATTTATTGAACTCGTGACAATAATCTTTTTTCAATGTTACGAATCTGATTGTACAATACATCAGTTCATGTGTAAACAGTACCCTTTAAACAGTATGGAATAGTTTACAAAATTTAAATTAGAACAGCTGCCAGAAGTAAGTGGCTATATTAACACTAGTGAGTCTAAACTTTTGAAAGGAAGTATATAATCTTATTGTGTTTCAAGATTTTAAATAGTCATATAGTTCACAAAAGATGTTCGATTTGTTTTTCGAGATGATCCCAAAGTGGAATTGTTGCTAGATATTGTAAATTATCATAAGACACGGTGACAGTTGCTCAAGCTTACC